CTTTTCTGCATCATGCACCAATTGCATAAATTTCCTTTCCATTAAAGATCTTAACGCGCTAGAGTATGTTTTGTTTTAAGATGGCGGATAGACGAACCTAGTTAGAATGGGCAAATTTGGGCATTCTGGAGTGCCCCTCCCCCTGCCTTGTAATAAAAGGACCCAATATTTTAGGGTTTAAGCCTGTAACATTTAGGTAAATTAAACATGTAAGTGATATCACTTTTCCCATGTACTAATTCCTGCTCTTATGTTTTAAATGTATCCCAGTCATTGGCATCCCTGGTGGGCTAGTGGTTAACTCTCACTGGTATCCACAGCCTGAGTTCAATCTCTGGCCAGAGAGGTGATCCACATGGTGCAGCAGACCTCTTCTGTCCAGCCCACAGCTTCCCATAGCAGTATATTTCAGTAGATTCATCTGTTCTGCTCCCCACTCTGTCTCTGGTGAATACTTTCACCTCCTATACTCTGGCCTACACCTCAGTTCTTCTATTGCAAAAAAAAAAAAAAAAGAATAAAATAAACTTACCCCCCCAAAGTGAGCCCCCAAACCCTATATACCCCAATAATGACAGCCCACCCATGTCCTACCTCCCTACCCATGACATCACTGCATGGACCCAGATGTACTCTGTACCCTCTAGGACAAAGTAATAAATCTTTTATTTTAAAGTACCAAGGTGGTGGTAGCTGACTGAGGTGGATTTTGCATTTGTAACAAGAAACAAAGGACTGTCTGTCAAAACATTGACTCAGATAAGGAAAATGCCCTTGGAAACTTGCCACCATATTGGCTCAAGATAACTGTCTTCCAGACATTCCTAGCTGATAACCATCATAAGGATAAAATGGAGTACAAAAAAAGCATGTGTCTCTCCATTTGAGTGAGGGAGACTAATCCTCTGGCTTCCAAGCATGGGGCACTTCCGCTGCAGTGACCATCACTACCTCTCTGCGCATGTCCACTCACACCTTATCTGACAAGTGCCTTTGGGAGAAGGAACTGGGCTTCAGCCTTTCCCCCTCGGTGTGGGATCCACTGGACCCCAGAGGGTATTGTTGTTAACCTGGACTGTGCAACCAGTGTCCAGGGGGGATCTGTGGGGGGTCAGCTGTGTCATGCCTGAACAGATTTGGCAAATTCAAGTGTGAAATATCAGAAAGCCCACTGGGCTTGCAGGGCAAAGCCAAAATTTGTGCATTGTGAAACTGATGTTTTGATGACTGATTCCTGTGACAGGTCTCACACTCAAATGGGAAGTTAAGAGATGTTGGTGATTTTTCTCCACAGACGCAATCATGGACAAACTGTATGCCAAACTTCTCACAATAATTTCCTCTGGGCCCCAGGCTTGGAAAGAGGTTCACTTTCTGCAATGCTGAAACTCTTTACAAATGTGTTGTTTTCAACATCAGGAAAAACTGTTAACCAAAGAAATCATGTTTAAAGAAATATGCATGGGTGGGCTAATGGGTAACAGATTATGCTAGCGCTTGTGGAAACTACTTTGAGCCAAACAGACTCCATTGTCTCTAACTGCCTTGTTGAGATTTCTAGGTGAAAAGTAAAAATCCCAACTCAGTTATTCAGTGACTACAAAAAAAACAAGTGATCATCTGCTGGTAGTGACAAGAGATTTCTGTCTGAAGACTTTTGCCCCCAACCAGAAACAAATGGACTTAAGAACTGCAAGCAGTGAAACTATGTCTCTCACTCACGCACAGAAAGCTAAACTCTGAACCACAAGAATATCTTTATGCAGTTGATGATACACAGCGGCCACCAAGAGATAGGTGTTAAAGAGACACCAGCTGCCCAGAAGGCAGGAGCACTGGGATCATATTATGGGGGAAGAAGCAGGAGGGGAGTGCAGGGCTTCACATGTCCAGGCCCAAGGAGATGCCAGGCAGTTAAGGTGGTATGTGTCAGGGTGTTTGCCAGGTGCTTTCTCAGCAACCAAAAGGTGTTCGTTTCCGATGCCACTATTGACCCCAGAGAAGCAGAGATTTTTTTTTTAAAGATTTATTTATTTGTGCATACAGAACTGGGGTACAGGCCGGAGGCTCAGGGGC